TTTCTGAAGAAGGGTCTAGGCCCGAAACGTCAGCCTTCCTGCTCCTCTGATGCTGCTTGGCCTGCTGTGTTCATCCAGCTCTACACCTTGTTATCTCAGATTCTCCAGCATCTGCAGTTTCTACTATCTCTGAAACAATTTCTATATGTTTATTTAAAAGAGATTTTATCACCTGGTCCTTCCGAAGTGGCTGAGCTTAATAGTTTCCATATAAGGTACGGACCTCCAAGAACAACAGCGAAGAACAAAAAGATGGGCCAGGATTTGCCTGACCCAGGTACTTTATCTTCAGCACCAGCTGGAACCACAGCACTGTCTGCCCACAAATCCTCAACCTCAGAGTTGTTCCGTAGGCCCAGTAACCTTTGTAACTTCCTATACATGTACTTCAAAGTTCTGATCAGTGCAAATGCCGAGAGAACTTTGGTAAAATGCACTCGAAGTCTGGAAAAATGATTAGCAACATCCAAGACGGCTCTGAAACTGTTGTATACTGCTGAAAAAGTAGCCTCAAGCATCATACTGACAGAAGCAAATGCATGAACAATACTTTCAATGGATTGAAATGCTCCTCTACTGCTTTCTTCAGCCTGGCGTACAAACCTACTTGGAGGAACATCATCTGTTCGAAATCTGTTGTAGCCAAGGCCTCCATACCCGTAGTTATAGGGGCTATAGCTTCCATATGGTGTATATGCTGGAGAGAAGGTATTATAGGTAGATCTGTAAGTGCTGAAGTTACCAACTCCAGTCTGTTGTGTTGGTCTTGGGGGAAGAGGTGGTGGGATTCTTGTAATTACAGGCTGTCCTTGTCTTGTAGGTAGGGACGGTAACAGTTCAGTTGATCTGAAACGCAGGATGTGCAAATGCAATTTTAAAAACACAAGTCAAATAAACATTCATGAAGAAAACTGTTAGCAAACTTGTGTGTTGGGAGAATCGTATTTGTTTTTGTAATTCGATTATTTAAATCATGTAATGCACATTCTGAAATTTGTGCTTACAAACAATGAAAAACAAAGACTGTGCTTTTCATGAAAATTGTTACAACTATGTTTGTTGCAGGAGCTTAACATAATTACCGGAACAATATAATTTTAAGAAGTTAAAAATCTGGTTTGTGTTTTGTTTACAACTAGATCAGGTAGAATGAACTTTTCAAATTTAAATCTTGCTTGTAATCAGTCTTCTTAATGTAGCCTTGTGGAATAACTTTTTTATAAGTATTTATATAGTTATGGATCATATACTTTTGTCATCTCAGATACATTGGAAATAAGTCTAAATAAGAAAGAATTCTAGGCTGACAAATGATTTGTTTGATTTTTTTCAGTATTACCAGAGTTGAAGTGACCTTAGCCTCAACACTTTCCTGTTTTCATAATGTTCAACTCCTCTAAAGTTTTTCAGAAGATTTGTAGCTTGGGTTGTGGAGGAGGTTGTAGACGTGCTCGCTGAGCTGGTGTGTTTGGCTGCAAACGTTTCATCAGCCTGTTAGGTAACATCATCAGTGCACCTCCGGTGAAACGTTGGTGTTCTGTCCCGCTTGTTATTTACATGCCTTGGTTTGCTGGGGTGGTTGGCATTACTTCTGGTTCTGTTTTTCAGTAGTTTGTATATCGGGTCTCTGTTTACCAAACAGAGACATGCCAGGGAATTCCTGAAAGCCTAGAATTCCCACCGGAACTCCAACAACAAACACATTGAACTGGACCACTGAAAAACAGAACTGGAAGTAGTGCCAACCACCCCAGCAAACTGAGGCAAATAAATAATAAGTGGGACAGACACCTACGCTTCACCAGTGGCGCACTGATGATGTTACCTAGCAGAGTGACGAAACTTCTGCAACCAAACACACCGGCTCAGTGAGCAAGTCAACAACCTTGTTCAACTCCTCTGTAGATTAGAAATTTGCCTGTCTCAGCCTTGTACACGTTCAATGCCCCACGTTCTACCGCACTCTTGGCACAGAGAATTTCAAAAATTTACAACTGTCTGATAAAAGAAATTTGCCTTCTACTCCACCTTAAAGGGGAGTTTCTTTTGCTTTTAAAACTCTGGCCCTTAAAATCTAGATTACCCAATGACAGGAAACATCTCTCAACTCTGTCTAACAGTCCACTCTGTTAAGTCCCTTCCGAATCTTATATGTTTCAATAAGATTATGTCATTCTTTTAAACCCCACAGAGTATAAGCCAAACCTCTTCAAACTTTCCTCATAAGAATCTGTTCACCCTTGGAATCAACCCAGTGAATCTTCTCTGAACTAGCTCTATTACAAATATATCCCTCCTTAAACAAGGAGACCAAAATTGAATGCAGTACTCTAGGTGTGGTCTCAATAATGCTCTGTACAATTTGTTGTAAATCTGTACAAAGTTTACAAAATTGTTACATTCGGGGATTGTCTCTTTAAGTTAGGGTAAACTGGAGAAATGAAGGAGTCAATTGTCCTGATCTTAATCGTGACTGACAACAAGCTAAGGAGGCTTGGTTGTTAAAGATTGAAGATGGGGCACAAATTGTTGAACTGAGAAAATAATGCAGGATGTTCACACCTCTAAATAGTCACCAATACAGCTGTACTCACAATGGACAGACTGTTAGTCTCCAGGACGCACAGGAAGATTTTTGGAAGTCAGGTTTTGTAAATGGTTATACGGAAGGAACAAGCAGGGGCATACACCTTCTAAAGGACAGGAAAGACCGCAACCAACCCTCATGTACGTGAAATAACAAGGTGTAGAGCTGGATGAACACAGCAGGCCAAGCAGCATCAGAGGAGCACGAGGGCTGACGTTTTGGGTCTAGACCCTTCTTCGGAAATGGGGGAGGGGAAGGGGATTCTGAAATAAATAGGGAGAGAGGGGTAGGCGGATAGAAGATGGATAGAGAAGATAGGCGGAGAGGAGACAGACAGCTCAAAGAGGCGGGGATGGAGCCAGTAAAGGTGAGTGTAGGTGGGGAGTTAGGGAGGTGATAGGTCAGTCCAGGGAGGATGGACAGGTCAAGGGGGCGGGATGAGGTTAGTAGGTAGGAGATGGGGGTGGGGCTTGAGGTGGGAGCAGGGGATAGGTGGGAGGAAGGACAGGTTAGGGAGGCGGGGCAAACTGGGCTGGTTTTGGGACGCGGTAGGGGGAGGGGAGATTTTGAAGCTTGTGAAGTCCACATTGGGCTGCAGGGTTCCCAAGCAGAATATGAGATGCTGTTCCTGCAACATTCGGGTGGCATCGTTGTGGCACTGCAGGAGGCCCAGGATGGACATGTCGTTGGAGGAATGGGAGGGGGATTTGAAATAGTTCGCGACTGGGAAGTGCAGTTGTTTAGTGCGAACCGAGCGTAGGTGCTCTGCAAAGCAGCCCCCAAGCCTCCGCTTGATTTCCCCGATGTACAGGAGGCCACAACGGGAACAGCGGATACAGTATACCACATTAGCAGATGTGCAGGTGAACATCTGCTTGATGTAGAAAGTCTTCTTGGGGCCTGGAATGGGGGTGAGGGGGGAGGTGTACCACTTCCTGCGGTTGCAGGGAAAAGTGCCGGGTGTGGTGGGGCTGGAGGGGAGTGTGGAGCGGACAAGGGAGTCCCGGAGAGAGTGGTCCCTCCGGAAAGCAGATAAGGGTGGGGAGGGAAAAAATGTCTTTGATGGTGGGGTCAGATTGCAGATGGCGGAAGTGCTGAAGGATGATACGTTGGATCCGGAGGTTGGTGGGGTGGTACGTAAGGACGAGGGGGAT